AAGGTCAGTACTTCTGAAGAACTGAATCAACATACAGTGTGGCTGTTTTTACATCAGTTTAATTGACTATTGCCCAGAACTATAGGCAAAGTTCAGCAGCAAAAGCCACAATTTGCTATTCAAACTCCCCAGTTACAATTCTCAGCAAAAAAATTAAATCCAATTCCAATTCTCAGCAAGAAGAAGAAGAAGAATGCATGGAAAGGAGAGAGTTTTGAGAGTTTTCAGGACACCCTTCTAATCCTTGATCAACAGTACTAATGGCCTCACTCAGCTGAAGGCAGCTGTCAAGGCGCTTGGCCAGGATCCATGGGCAACATAGAGGTCCCCCAGGCTCCTTCTTCCCAGTAGTCTTTGAGAAATTCTTCTTTATTCAAGAATTCAGGTCAATGGCCAGGAGGCTGATGTCTCCCTCTGCAGTTTTCAACAAAGTTTTCAGACTCCAAGATAAAGCAGGCCTGACTGTCTAAAGGAAAAATATGAAGACATGTTTTGAGGCTTGCAATTATTACAATAGTCTTTTGCAGTCCCTCTGCTCTTCAGATCCCATGAGGAATACAGAAGCCTGCTGTCAGAAACAAGAAGAAGAAAAACAGGACGGAAAACATCTCATTTATTCTCTGAAATGTTCCCCTCACAATATAAAGGCCCCTTTGCTAAAACCTCAGACCATCTCAGTCTCAAAATCTGAGGAACAGAAAGTGTGTCAGTCCCAGCTCTTCTGTGTCTTCTACCAGGAATGGTAAAGCTTACTTTTATATATATTAAAAAATATATCTTTTTATAATAACTTGGGATAGAGTAAGGGGTACAGAAGGTATAGGGGGATTTGAAGGGGGGGAAACGGAGGAGGCGGAGAAACACAGCATGTACTGACATCCAATCTATTCATATTACAATATCAAATCAACTTTCCCCTTCTCTACAATTTGATTGCCCTCCAGGTTTTAACTTACATTTACATCCTAATTTAAATCTACGTTAATCAAGCACTATCTGGTGATTCAAGCCATTGGGACTGATAAAGCCTACTGATGGTGAGTGTAAGAGCTCACGCATGAGGTCCAACGGAGACTTAGCCAGACGTTTGTCAGCAATTCTTCTGGTTTTCTTGCCACTGCAAGTGCTCCTACAGCACTGGTGCTCCAGCCAGAGATTCAGCTCCACCAGGTGTGATTGGCAGCCAGGAACCCAGATGCCGGCAGATAATCCTTCAGAAGAGGTGGTCATTGGTGGATTTGTATCAATATCTCTTGCCAACTTCGTCCTGGAGACATTTATGAAACACCCACAACCCCTCTGGAGTACATAGTAAGTACGTCTTTATCTTTTGTTGTTCTTGTAAAGAAATATGATGTTGATCCAGAACACTTCATAACATACAAATTGTACCTCACTTCCCTTGCTATAGAAATAAAAATACAGCCAATGCCTTCATTGTTTTGCTAGACAGAATCTAAAATGTTCTCAAAAAATAACAAGGACTGGCAGCCTCAGTGACATTATCAGTTTGCTTAAAGCAGTACCTTCACCATAACAAAGAATACAATACTTTACCCTTTATCTTTTCTTTGAAGTCACCATGTAAGACGATTTTGAAATGTCATTGCAGTATGATACCGAAAAACTATCAGCACATCTTGGCCTTGGCTTTTGCCATCCACGAGATCAACACCAATGATGAACTGCTACCAAATATCACCTTGGGTTACAAGATCTATGACAATAAATTTGATTCCTGGAGAGCCACTCAGACTACTCTGCATCTCCTGTTCCGGGTGAATGGGAACCCCCTCAATTACAACTGTGAAAAGACAGAGCAAGTCCTGGCTGTCGTTGGTGGGCTCACCTCCCAAAATTCCATGCAGATGGCCCACATCCTAAGCATCTACAACATCCCACAGGTATGCTTTTAGAATTGAATAGATGCAACCATGTGGAGAAACTAGCCTGATAATGTTCCTTGAGTTTCATCCACAGCCTGCTTAAAAGATTCTGCCAAATTTAGAGTCTATCGCATCAAATGAATTTTAGGAGGCTTAATTACAAGAGAAATATTGCTATATGATATTCAGTGGGATTAAGAATTAAAGGTACGCACTAAGAGATGGTATCAGAAGACATGGTATCATATACTCATTTAGTCTTAGAATGGTGTTCAAAAACACATGGAAAGCATCATTTAGCCCTTATTTCACAAAGGAACCACACTTTGTTCTCATGGCAGTGCTAACTCCTTGAAAACCCTGTTAAGGTTGCCATGATTCAGAAGTTCCTTGACAACCCAGAACAACAACAAAAACTAAGGTTAGGTCATGTTAATTTAAAATATATTGCATGCTTTTCAATTAGGTCAGCTATGGCTCTTTTGAAGAAGCCCTGAGTGACAACATTCAGTTCCCTTTCTTGTATCGGATGACCCCCAACGAAGAACCACAGTATGTCGGGATTGTTTGCCTACTCCAGTATTTTGGATGGAACTGGGTTGGCCTCATTGTTCCAGACGATAACAATGGAGAAACCTTCCTTAGAACGTTGACACCAAAGCTATTTGAGAGTCATATTTGCATCGTTTGGACCATGATGATCCCAAGAGTATCTGTGCACTTACCGAATAAACTACTAAACCAAAAACTGGAACCCATTCTGTACAGTTTCCGACTGATTGAAATCAACGTGGTTCTTGTGCATGGAGACAAACAATCTTTGGAGGCATTATACCTCACTCTATTCTACTTTGAACTGCATGCAAGACAACCACACCACAAAGGAGGGTGTGGGTAACGACGGCTCAGTGGGATTACACATCTTTACCAGCTGTGTTAAAACCGAGCTCAGAGTCACTCAATGGAACCTTGTCATTCGCCCTCCACACAAATGTGGTGCCAGGATTTCAGGACTTTCTGGATAACATCAATCCTTTTCACTCAAACATTTATTTCATTCCTGAGTTCTGGTTCACAGTATTCCGCTGCTCATTTCCACTGCGTGGCCTGTATTATCCAGATGCAAACAACTGCACCGGGCAGGAGAAGCTCACAGGTCTTCCTGGATCTGTCTTTGAAATGGGAATGACTGGCCACAGCTACAGTGTCTACAATGCTGTTTATTTTGTAGCACATGCCTTGCATGCCATTTATTCCTTGAGAGCTCAACAGAAAGGAAGGAGAGATGGAGACAAGCAGGATCCTTGGAATATTCATCCATGGCAGGTAATCACATGAAAAACTAAGTTTAGGAACATATATATAGCCAGGTAAAGCAAAAAAAAAAAAAATGGCAGGCTCTCCAGTTTTGGGGAGCAGGGTAGAAAAGTGAGGTCTTGCCTCATTACTCAAAGGGTGGGGAAAGAGAAAGATGGACTTCATGAGATGATCCAACTTTATGCTAGATTCTCTTAAGCTTAAGGCTATCACTGCTCCATAATGGACAGAATGAAAAATGAAGTCATGAGTGCACAAGTGCATATTTATTGGCCATCAATTTCAATATGTCTGTGTTTTTCTGCCCTCCTCAAGGATTTTATTTATTTATTTATAAAATAAAAGGTCAAAATAATTAAAATGCAATTAAAATATATATTCTAAAAATTGCCATCAGACCTACAGCTGATATTATTTCAGTTAAAAGCCATTTGGAACAGGAAGGTTTTGACCTGGCGCCGAAATGTCATCAGGGTCGGTGCCAAATGAATCTCAGTCGATTCCGATCTTCCCCTTTTTTATTTTCCCAAGATTAAGACAATGTTTTCACACTTGAGTTAATCGGCCATTGTGGTTTGCCTGGAAAATTTCTGAATGTTCGGACTGTACAGAGTTTGACATGTTTCTCCCTGACTAAAAGTGTAAATCTTTTTTTCTTCTAATACAGCTTCACTCAGTTCTAAAAACTCTCCATTTTAACAATAATGCTGGGGAAGAAATATTTTTGGATGAGAAGAGGGAACTGGCAGCTGGATTTGACATCAACAACTTCTTCGTCTTTCCCAACGGGTCCTTCCAGAAAGTCCGAGTGGGACACGTGGACCCCCTGACCCTTGAAGGCAAACAATTCGCTATCAATGGGAGCACCATTGTGTGGAATCAGAAGTTCCATCAGGTGGGGATGCTTATTCCTAGCAATAATGAACTGATTTAGCTGCACCTATTGAGACTGAGCTAGGTGTCGGCTGTATTTTTTTCCATGAGGAAAGGAGCTTGTGTAGGCAAATATTTCTCCCCTGCTGTGCTTGTTCAATCCTTGAAATGTTTAGGGACTTACAGAAAATGACGACTCCCCTAAAAACTCAGAATCATTCAGATCCAGCAGTGTTGTTGCCATCTCCCTAACATCCTTTACCCTGTTCCATGCCAAACCTAGCACTTCAGGGAAACCATAGGAGCATTTTGGCAACCATGATGGAAATATTATACTCACAATTGTTTCGTAATTGACTGAGAAATAGTTATCAAATAAAAGAGTTCAGGGAAACCATAGGAGCATTTTGGCAACCATGATGGAAATATTATACTCACAATTGTTTCGTAATTGACTGAGAAATAGTTATCAAATAAAAGAGGAAGTACAGTGGTGCCTCGTACAACGAGTGCCCCGTTTAACGATGAATTCGCATAGCGATGGCATTTTTGCCATCGCTTTTGCGATCGTATAACGATGTTGCCTATGGGGAAAAATCGCTTTGCGATGTTTTCCCCATAGGCACCATTTTCCCCCAGCTGAGCGGCGGGAGCCTCCGAAGGAGTGCTCCCGCAGCTCAGCTGGGGGAAAATGCCTGCGGTGGCCTCGGAAGGACCCTTCCGAAGGATCCTTCCGAGGCCACCGCTGGGATTCCCCTTCCCCGCGGCCAGCTTCCCCGGCCATGGTCGGACTCTCAGGAGTCCGACCATGCATGGGGTAGCCTGCCGTGGGTCGGATCCAAGCCGCGGGGAGAGGGTGGGGGGATCCGGATGCCTGAGGCAGGCTACCCCATGCATGGTCGGACTCCTGAGAGTCCGACCATGGCCGGGGAAGCCGGCCGCGGGGAAGGGGAATCCCAGCGGTGGCCTCAGAAGGACCCTTCGGAAGGGTCCTTCCGAGGTCACCGCAGGCATTTTCCCCC